CATCTCCCTCTTCATCAACCCTCTCCTCATTCTTTATCTATTTCTTCCCTTTTCCCTTTTCCCCCTTCCCATCCCAATTCTCGCTCTATCGCCCCCCGTATGGATAGGGTTAAGAATAAAAAATAAACATTTATTTTAGAAGAAAATCTTATCTGAGTGCATCAGAAAAGGATGTTACAACTGTCTGTAACAATATAACTCTTGGTAAGTTTTTTCCGACATTTTTTAAATTTTCTAATAAACATTTTACATGCTTTTTTTTCTTCAGGCGATTGGTTTATCCTGATCCTGATTTCAGAAAATATAGATGCACAGATTTTTTCTGAACTTGTTAGGAATAAATTATCCTTATTACTTAATTATTATTCTTAAAATTAATATTTTGTATTCTGATCAAAATTACAATATTTTAAATGAATTGGATGAAAAGAATAATAGTGATAATAAAAATAATAATAATAATGATTCAATATTTCCATATTTATTCTAACTGTCAAATACACATTTAAAACTCAAATTGTTCGCAAGAAGTTGGACACTTTTCAAAACTAAAAAACCGGTTCAGTCAAATATCTTCAAGAAAAATTATTCTTTTTTTAAATATATATTTTTAATGATGATTTTTATAAACATATTTAGCTTGTCAGCATGTTTTTGTTACTTTTTAATAAACACCAAAAACTTCAGATGACCGCAAGGACGGTTTGAGCTTGTCTTACTTCAAAAAATAAAATAATAACTTTTTAAAAAGGCTACTAGAAAAATGGCGATGTCTTGTACTCATTAATTTATCTCCCTTGCGACAGTTGTATTTTGTAAATATAAAGTGTACTGATAAAGGGAGGGGGGGTTAAAAAATCATCTCAATGTCTTCTTCATTTTATATTATCAAACAATTAATATTTTACGAGAAATTGCTAATTTTCAATGGGTTTTTAATGGTTAAAACGCTAGAAAGGAAGACGCAATTACTAATTGTTTTTTAAATTTTGGCAAATAGCCATTTATTTTAGAACATCTATTTAGTTATCAGAATTTGTTAGTTTATTTATTGAATATTGAGTGAGACCCATAGCACTGCGGAATATGAAGACGACTGCTGAACTTAAGTTATGATTAAAAACTGTCCAATGTACAGAAAAAACAACAATTTGCCGATAAAAATACATCTGATAAATGTAAGATCAATTAAATTGACAGTAACCGTAATTTCAAGTGACACTCTGTGCAAAGCTGGCAATATCAGATTTACAACGGTACCCTTGAAACCTTAATCTGATTCAAATGTGGAAGATAAAAACTGTTTTTCTTATGATAATTTTTTTAAAACAGGAAATACGCATGCCAAAGGGTTCAAGGGTACCGTTTTAAATCTTTGTATGTGGAGGGTTACTTGATATTATGCTTACATTCCTTTTAAATGTCGTCTTCCTATTCCATGGTTTAACGAGTTCCACTTTATATTTAGTTAATATTTATGATTTTATAAAGTTTGCAGATTTTTGCAAACCCTTGGATTCGCGAATATCTGGTGTGCTGCTGCTGGATCTCCCTCTTCATCAACCCTCTCCTCATTCTTTATCTATTTCTTCCCTTTTCCCTTTTCCCCCTTCCCATCCCAATTCTCGCTCTATCGCCCCCCGTATCCCTTTACTTTTATTTAGACTTCCTGTCCCCTAGCTAACTTACTTTTTTATTTCCTTTTTTCTCTCTTTTTCTTCACTTTTCTCTTTTCATTCTATTCCATTTTATTTTTTCTTAATTTTCTATTCTATTATCCTTTCGGTTTCCCATACCTATTATCCAAATCCCCCCCCCCTCCAATTCACCCTCTTTCTCTTTTCCTTCTCTCTATGTTTTATTCTTCCCCTCCCCCGCTTCCCTTCTNTTACTTTCTACCTTTATTCTCTTTCTTCTTTATAGTTCTTCACCTTTTTTATGTTCTTTAAGGGACAAAAAATCCATGATTACAATAAACAGTTTTCAAAAATAAAAACATGGTATACGTAATTCATACTTGATCAGACAACGTTTTTAATGTACCATTGGACTTTTGGACTTTTGGGCATTCAAATCTATGGAGTGTCATTTGAAATTACGTTTACTGTTCCTTTAATTCCCCTTTAAATACGTTAATATTTATCTCCTTCTTCTTTTTTTCTATCAATTTCCACAACCCATTCCCCTCCCTTCACCCTTCTCTATTTATTTCTCTCTATGCTATCTTACCCCCTTTTCTCCTTTTCACATATAAAAGTCCTTTTTTCACTTTATTCTTAAGCTAGACTAAGGTAATGTCATACCTTGAGCTAGACCATATTTGACCTTTCCCCTCATACCTTGAGCTAGACCATATTTGACCTTTCCAACGAATAGACTTTCAGTATTCGTACACTTTAACTCTTACTATAATCAAGCTTTTGTTCGCGGTTTAATATTTCTAAGGTCTTGTTTCCCTTTACTTAAATGAACGTTATTCTCAAATATTTTGAAGGAGGAACAAAACTTATATTGGCCATAATGATAACGCTTTTGCTAGTTTCGTGGATTTCAACATTTTGGACAGCACAATTGTAAAATCCACGAAAAAAAAATTCTTTTTTTCTGGCATAAACGTTATGATTATCTAACTGAAAAAATTGATAATTCTGACCTTCAGTGACCTCTTTTAGTGATATGATTGGCTAAGTTGTTCTGAAAGCTTCCGTTTAATTGAAATTTTTAATCTTTATTTTTATGAATAATAATTTCTTTTTTTACTTACATAAAACTTCAATTTCCTTGATAAGATTTGATTTTTAATTTCCATTAATGTTTTTTGCAAAGGTTAATTTTCAAGAATTTGTCTAAAAACTAATTTGGGTAGTTTTTACCTTAAATGGTTAGGTTTGAACTTTAACGGATATTGAACTTAAAACCTAGCTGCGTACATTTTAACCCTTCACATTTTCCCATGGAACTCAGTTCATTTAGCCAGACCTCAGGGTTTTGTTAAAGATTAATCTGAACATCTGTAGATATATACCGTNGTCAGGGGTTTCATAAAACTTTGAAATATAAAGACTGTTAGACTCAAATAATTTAAAATTAATATGATACACTGCATTTGTTCAGTGAGCGTGTGCTTAGACCCATTTAACTTTACAAGTTGATTTTTGTGTTCCATGGTAACACTTTCTACGTATATATATATACTTTGCTTGTCTGTTTGGATGCCTGGGTGTTTGTTTGTTTGTATACAATAAACGTCAAAACAGCTAAACCGATTTGGCCCAAATTTAAGTAACCCCAGGGAAGGTTAATGGATGATCGAATTCAAAAATTTGCCTCTCACAAAATTAGATTATCATTAATTTGTGAACATTTTAAAAATCCAAGAATTTTTTTTTTATGAAATCCGCTAAATTTTTTATGTTTTATTTTGATCTAAAAGCCTAGTTTCTTAAATGTGCGCAAACCTAGATAAACATAAAGAGCTGGCTCTGCTGTAATGTGCTGCAATCAGCAAGCAAAAGGCCAACACGTCTGGAAAATGCATGAATATTAATCTTAAATGTCATCATTAAAGGGACAGTAGACGTAGTTTTAAATAACTCAAAATAAATGGAGTTTCAGGTTCGGTTTATTTACCTTTTAAATCTTCGTCTAATCGAGGGAAGGAAGGCCAACCACAACAATTTCTCGTCCGAGCCTCATTCTCCTCATTATCTTGTCCGATCCACCTCGGAATCATTGTCCTTCTAATATTAATTCTTTTAAGTGTCTAATCCTCCGAGAAAAAACTATTTTTTAAGAATCGGGCCACGTTAGGACATATATTAAATATTAAATTTTTGTAAATCGAAAAAAATGTTTAAATTTAATTAAAGTTTTCAAGTTTGATATCATTAAAAATGTTCACCTTTTTTACGCACATTTTCAGATATTCTTGGTGTAGAATGCCGCAAATAATTCCGAGTTTATAGAACTTCAATCTTTTTCGTTAATTATAGTGAAAACCATAGAATTTTCCGGGTGGTTTCATGGGGAAAATGACAGGCCAAATATTTTGCTATTTTTTTATATCGCGAAGGTTAGCCATTACGGAGGCAGAAGAGATTCAAGTTTTTCCCAAATAAAGTTTGACATCGTTCTCATGTCTTTAAGGATTCGAACATGATGTAATCATTGCAATACTTTAGTCTAACCATATTTTATGCCCTAACGAGGCCAGATTTTTAAAATAGTTTTATCTTGAGAATTGGAAACTTTAAAACAAATAATAATCGAAGGACGAGGCTTCCAGGGTGGTTTGGACGTGAAAATGAGGAGAATGTGGCTCGGACGAAAAATTGTTGTGGTTGACCTTCCTTCCCTCTCTAATCAAGGATTAAATACAGTGTTAAGTAAAGGATCAGTCGATTTTGGAAATTCTACTTGCTTGACCCTGTATAGCATACATATTGGATATTGAAAAGTCTTCAAGAAAAGACGTTTTCCTCTCAAGTCCATATGTTGTGGACAAACATCGGTTTTTATCACGATTAAATTTGATCAATGTGACTAATGCAAGCGAAAATATCAATTTATTAAAAAGATCCGTTTTAGAAGTCCGACTAAAATTGAATTAAAACAAAAAATTCTTTCTCAAATTTGTATACTCTAAACAAATCCGGTTGAATTAGGATTTTAAAAAATATTTAAAAATCTACCTCCTGGAGGATACACTGTACCTCAGCTGAACAGAATATGGTTTAAATTGTTTTATTATGAATTTGACCTTTCACTATATAAATGGAGGGGCACCTCAAATAACGCCTACTGCCCCTTTAATATTGGAAAATGCTGATTATCAGGTTTACATTTAAACTGCATTTCACGTCTAACCAAAGTCTTGATAAACAATATAGAAAGTTGTGAGAAAATAATTTAAAATTTTTCGACAAATTTTTCAAACAGTTGAGTTTTAAAAATCTCGAAGAAACCTACTGTTTAAATCAGATATAATTTAAAATAAAGGTGACTAGTTTCTGTATGTTTGGTTAGGTGTGATTTTGCTCCCCCCTCCCGGGACCCTGAAGGTGTTCATTTTAGAGAACACCTCATAAATACCGCTTTTTGTAACACTTTTTCCAACCTTCAAAATATCTTTTGGGAATAGGATGTTTCACGCCCGAAATGATTCATTCGCCCCCCCCCCCCCCTTACCTCCGTCTCAGTTAGTAAAATTAAATTTGAAACTGCATTGCAACAATTTTAGTCATTTATTTTAAACTAGTTCTCATGGTATTTCTTTAATCAATGAAGCACATTAAGGTTTAAATATATTTTTTTCCGTTTTACTATTTTATACAATCTACAATAGTTTATCTTTGCATAAAACACACATAAAAGAAACGTCGAAAGTA